AATGAATTAATTTTTATATAACACTTATAAATAAGAAAACTGTCGTTGAATTATTTCATGACATTTACTCAATTGGCAAATGAGTTCTGGAAGTACAGTATATTAATGATATTATAATTTATATAAACTAAAGAATAGCAACATTTTATTATTTAATAGTTTTTATATAGGTAATTTATATAGTTGATGTATATAATTATCACATGTCACTCAATTGATACATACTTAGCAATACTATAATGATATCGTACTGGTATATTTATTAATGTGCCTGCTATATTGATCTATTAATAGCTCAATATCAATTGAGTAATATTTTTATATAAAGTTTTAATTAAATTAAAAATAGATATTTTTATTAATAATTTGTGAAAAACATTTAGCAAATGAAACTTTATACACTGATGTTGTACTAAACAAGTGTGAAATGTTTGAATTGAAGGTATTCGTGGACACGGATTCTGTATCACTCTCTCTATCGGAAAATGGGAACAGACGGAGGAGTCGACTTCTCTCTAATATAGTGCCCACAAGTAATGATAATCGTTTAGATATGTGTCTATATATGTTAATTATTATACTAATCAATGATTTAATTTGTAAATGAATTAAAGCTGAGCTCAACTCAAGTGGTAATTCGAGCACAAGTTATATCTCTTCGTCTTCGTCGCCAACCTCGCAGTCGTCGCACTCATCGGACCAAATGGCGCCGACGCCTACAATGGCTGCAGCCCTACCATCGCCCACATATTCACCACAAAGTTTGTCGACACAACCGATGTGTTGCACTCCAAACGCTAACCCTAACTGTCCAATCAATTCGGTCAATACGGCTACTCTGCCCTTCAAACTCCGACATAAGGCTAAGAACAATAACAACGACAGCGACTCAGGTAGTGATACCTGTGTTAATGTGTTGACCGACATAACCCCCAATCATTGTGAGATCAACACCAATGTAGGCTTCAATGACAACAACACCCGCAGTGCTCTTAACGACTCGATCCTCAAGTCTGAGAACTATGCCCTCAGAAGTGAACTCCAAAGACTAGCCACAGAAGTGGCATCTCTTAAGAATGTGCTCGTCTTCAACCCGACCCCCAATTCACTCAAAACTATGACATCCAACGACTCCATTCACTCTCATCTGTATCGCAGAGACAGTCGTTCAGAATCACCCGATCTTAAGAGTGAATCCAACGAAGAATCCAATGTCTTGTCTAATAGAAATCGGTCCCATTAAAGTGATAATTGATTGCTTCTTGAGTAAATTTGTTTAACTCTGCAAAGTGGTGATCGTTTCATAAGATTTGGTTAAAAGTTTATAATCATAATAATAATTAAATGATAATTGGTTGTATTTTTGTTTAATTCATTGTTATTACCGTTTGCTTTTGTTGTAACTTAAGTTTATCAGAATAATTTAAATCCATTTGTTTTTCAATGATAATTATATTGTATATTACAGAAGTTTTCAATCGTTTCTATAGTTTATTATAATTATTAGGATAGCATAGAATTGTCCCATTGTCTCAAAATGAACGATATTTTTAATGATTTGTTTTTGTAAAATATATATTGTAATAGAAATTTACAAAAACTATTTTAAGAATTGCTTCTTTAAAGTGTCTTTTAAATAGCATAGAATTGTCCCATTGTCTCAAAATGAACGATATTTTTAATGATTTGTTTTTGTAAAATATATATTGTAATAGAAATTTACAAAAACTATTTTAAGAATTGCTTCTTTAAAGTGTCTTTTAAATAATTGATTTCTTTTTATTTTTACATTTAGTTTATGTCTAAACTAATCAAAATATTGAAGAATTAATTTGTACTGTAAAATCATATATAAAGAGTAAGCAATCAAAAGGTTTAAAACTAATATTAACATTAATACCGTTATTGTTATATAAATTTTCTGAAATGAAAAATGTTATGATTTGTTAGAAGTTTTTAATTTTTAAAATTAATTGTGAAATATTAGTTTTAATTAAAGTATAGTTTTGTTTTAGTGCTTATTATGATCATTATATAATTATTTGATCGACTCATTGATTTCCTGAGAAGAGGTTTTTGTGCACTAATTAGACTTGAATTGTGTTATTGAATGAATGAATGACTAAATTTTATAAATTATTATGTTTTCTATTAATGTGTTGAATGGATGGTAAAGTGCCAAATGGTATGATTGCTATGTAAGGCCGTATATCTGGTGAACGAATACATTATGTGATTAATAATTATATTTATAAATTATTTTTATAAAACAATGTTAACTAATTGCCTGTTAATTACAAGAACCGATATTTGATTAAAAGCTCATCTTATGTGTTAACACATTTGCATTAGACTTGTATTCATATAATATACAAATACATAATATTTCAAATGTTATGCGTTTGTGAATTACTGTAACTTAATGT